CCCTTTGGCCGAGCCGCGGAGGGGAGAGGCCGTGACCCTTCCCCGCCGGCGGGCGACGCGCCAGTGGGCCGGCGGCCTGGGCCTGGCGCTCAGTTTAAAAGCTTAACCGGGGCCGCTGGCGGGCTCCGGAAACGAAACGAAATTCGCCCCGCTGGCCGCCCTCCGGGCCCCGCCAGTCCCTCCGAGCGCCGCGCTCCCCGGAATCGACCCTTCTCCCGCCATTTGCCACCGGGCTCTCGCTGAGCCCGCCCTCCCAGGGCTCAGAGGCCTGCGGCCGCCGGAACCGAGCGGGCGGCATGGCGGCAGGCGTGGACTGCGGAGAAGGGGCTAGCGCCCGGCGGCACGTGTTCCTAGTCCCAGGTAAACACGCCCGCCCCGGGACGGCGGCGGGCCCGGCCCGAGAGCGCCTCCCGGGTGGGTTCTCGGCGGCGGCGGGGCGCGCCCCCTCTGGCCCGCGGCCCCCGCGCGCGCACCCCAGAGTGTTAACGGGTCAGCGCGGAGCCGAGGCGCAGCCGGAACAGGCCCTGCGCGCCCCTCGGCCGCGCGGGCGGGACCCGAGTGCCTCGCGGAACACGTGGTTCCTCATCTTGGTTACGAGTGCCAGCAGCTCCGCTTTTCAAAACCTCAGCAGCAAGCGCAGGAACCGACCAAGCGGATTTTCCCCGTTCTGGTTCTTTGTGGATCCATCGGGTGGGCTGGAGGGAGCGGCCCAGGCGGGGGGAGGGCAGTGCGGGTTCAGGGCCTCGAGGCCTGGAGGTGTCTGCTCTTGGGGTGTAATTAGGAATCCCCCACTCGACAGCTGGCTTGGCGGCTGAGTCCTACTGGATCGGAACCTAGGATCCAGTAGGTCCACATTGGCCTGGAGGCTGCGCTGTCTTAACAGGATCCCAGCCCTGGGACAGGCCTTGGTTTGTGAGACAGGAGGGGAGCTGGATGGTGGCAGGGGTTAGGACAGGGGTGGTTCAAAGAGATTCAGGCAAGTAGCTAATGACAGGAATGCTGGAGCCAGTATTTTCAGCCTCCCCCGGGATGATGACCACATCCAGGGTCTGCTGGGGCTTGGGATGATGGACATCAGTTGCCACCTATGATGGCATGAAGTGGCAGAGTAACTGGAGTTTGGGACCAGGGAGTGCAAGACAGAAAGGTTTGGCCTTTTCATAGGATGCTACATTGATTTGACGGCATAACATTGGCTATAAGGAAAACCCATTGTTTTCTTTATGTAACTTTGAGATTTAGCTTAGCAAATACAGTATTTTTGCAGTAAATGATACTCTGGTAACTATATAGTCGCCTAGTAATCTAGATTTTTATGATGGATATTGAAAATAGTTACATGACCACCTGTCAAGAATATGTTGTGCGTGTTTAACTTTTTCTCCCTTTATAAAGAAGTGTAACATACATAACGTGTACCAGTTGAAGTGTGCAACTCATTGAACTTTTCATATGTATACACCCCTGTAACCATTCCCCAGGTCAAGACCTAGAACTTTTCCAGTGAGCTCCTCTTGCCTGTTGGTAGATAGCCTCAGTAACCTCTATGCTGACCTCTGTCACCAGAAATTTGTTCTGCCTGTTTGGATAAGTGTGTGTTAACTTTGTACCTGGCATCGTTTACTCAGCTGAGGTCCACCCATATTCTGTGTAGCAGTAGTCTGGTTTGTTGGTTGGTTTGTGTTTTCTTTGCTGGGTATATTTTATTGTATGCATATTCATAATATTTATCTCCACTACTGTGGGTGGATGTTTGGATTATTTCCCGTTTGTAACTATTACGAGTTACACTTCTAAGAACGCTCTTTTATGAGGCTTTTGGTAGATGGAAGTGCTCATTTCTCTGCAGTATAGACCCAGGAGTGGAATTGCCGGTCCTGGATATTTTATGTTCAGCTTTGGTAGGCTCTGCTCAACAGTTTTCCAAAGTGCTTGTACTGATATATACCCCCAGCTGTTTGTGAGAGTTCCCGTTGCTCCATATCCTCACTAGAGATGTTTGTAGTTTGTATAGGAAAAGTTAATGCAAAATTCAGGGTTTTCACAGAATCTAGTAAAGGGCTACCTGATACATGCTTTACAGTAGAAAACGTCTCTTCTCACTGTTGTCACGTTAATTCAGTGAGATTTTAACGGTGGGAACTCATTCAGAATCAAGTGCATTATTTTTATTCAGATACACACAATGGCTGAGAATAATTTGAATTTCTTATCTTGTTCTATTTAATCAGTATTGAAATTTTCATTCTTAAAGTATGTCTGTATCCTCACCGTATTAAACACAAAAACCTTTAAGATCATTTAATATTGATCGCATCTCTGATAACTGTTGGTTTAATATGTCTACTGTCAGGCGGTGAGAAGAATTTCAGTCTAGTTCCTGTTCAAAACTGAGTTGAATTGTGACCTTCCAACTGATTGGAGGAGGCTGAGCCAGCTGTTAAGGAACTGTTAAAGAAGAACAGTGTGGTCAGGCAGGCTGGTTCTGTAGGACTTAGAACTTGAGCTTCTAGTGCCTGTAATTCTTCTAGCTGGACTTTACTGCCATCTGCAGGCCTTGGGTGTAGAAACGCTGGTGGTCTGATAGTTAACTGCTGTGCAGCTATGCTTCTCAATCTTGAGGGCATCAGTCATCTGGGGAGCTGGGCCCCATCCCCAGAGTCTCTGATTCAGTAGGTCTGGGGGGCCTGAGAATGTGCATTTCTAACAAGTCCCCCCCCCCCCCCCCCCCCGGTCAAAAAGGCCATCTGAAAAAAGTGTAAAATCCAGAAAGGCAAGTGGCCTTTTTAAAAAACCCCCCCCCCCCCCCGCCCAGTGCTGCTGGTGCTGCTGGTCAGAGGACACCACTAGGAACCACTGAAGTAGGACCAACCCTAGGGAGCTGGATTGGGAGATAGGAACAGCCAGCCTCAGATTTAGCTGTCTTTCTGGTGGGTCAGAATTTCCATGGTCAGGGGAGTGCATGTAAGTACAGGGTATGAGGCCCATCTTCACAGATGTATTTGTTGTTTTTTCCAGCCTATGGGAAGTCATCCCCAGTAAGTTATGCATTTAAGAGATGGAGACTGTACCCTACCATAGGGCTGTATTATATAGTAACAGAGGCCTCTCTGCCACTTGTTTTCAGTTTGTCTGGAAAAGTCAAATATCTCAGAAAAACAAAAGCTGAAACTTGGAAGGGATACTTGGAGGTGGTCGGACGTAGCCTTGATTTTCATAGGCCAGTGGAGATAGAACTGCCTTCCGTTTCAGCAGGGTAAGCATTCCTTGCACTTTGGGATGGTCTCAAACGTTTCTCCCACACGCCCTGGAATACTAGCCTGTTCGCAGCTTTGGTTACTGTAAGAGACCGTGAACATCTCAACTTTTTGGAATAAGGTAGAAGTTTCCATCTCTCTTTGCTGCCCTAAAAGTAAATGTTTAAGTTATATTTTTAATATTTTTCTCTAGTCCAAGTTTTGTACGCTTGTCAGTCCTAATAAGTTGGAGTGGATGCCAATGTGAGAGGCCAGCGGGAACAGATTCACTGAATGTAGGAGAGAAGACTGTGTTATATGCTTCTGTGGCTGAACTCTGTTACTTAGCCATCTCCAAGGAAATGTTAAAGCATTGGGAAACCCTAATGTTACTTGAGGAAAAAGGGAAAGACAGAAATGATCTCAGGATCCACTTAGGCTGAAATCATCCCCCAGTCAGCCCCCTGATTAAAGAGCCTCCAGGTCAAACTGGAATTCAGATCACATCTTCAACTGTAGACAAGTTTTGCAATAAAGTTATTCCCCTTTATTTTATGAAAATACACATTTAAAAGTATTTTACGAAGAGTATTTCTCTTTGTTATTTTTTTCCCCCAAGATAGCATAAGTAATGCCAGTTTCTGGGGGGTGGAGGAAGGGGTACCCTTTGGGAGATAATCCCAGGCCTGCCTGCCTACCTTAGACATTCCAAATACAGTAATGACCCTTTTATGTGAGGTGCCATGATAATCACCATAAAATGTCTTATTTGTCTCTCCAAAAGGAACACAAAAATAGATTTGTATAACTGCAAGCTTTAGAACAATATTCTAATTAAAGGATTAAAAAAGAAATCAAATTTAAAAGTAAAAACTAATTTCCTATTTAATAATGGAGAAAATTTATGTTATTTCTGATTAGAGACTTGTAGCTTTTTAATAAGCCCACAAGAAACCCCTCTTGTTTAAAAAGTAGAAGTTTGAAGTATGTGGCAAAGGAAGAATTACTATAGACCCAAGTGACTTTTCAATGACCCTAAAAAAAAAATAAAACTTTTTTCCTCTTTTACCTGAGGGCATGTGGTTAGTCTCAGAAGAAGCAGCAAGTATTTTGTTCTTTGTCAACACTGTTTGCTTGTATGTATGTTTGTGTTTAGAAATATACCTCGTGGGCTGAAAGCTTCCCTACTTTCAGAAGAGCTTTTTCACCAGGGAGGAACCTGCGTTAACTTGGCCAGAGATGGGGAACCTGGAGGATTCAACTGCTGACTTTAGACAACTTCTGAATCATTCAGCTCAGCTTCTTGGAAGATTTGTCATTTACTGAATAGTCTCCTGCAGGCTGTCAGCCGTTAGGGAGTCTCTGAGTTTTCCAGCACAGAGTGTATTTAACATTTTCCACACAAATCCTGAATCTGGCTTTGTCTTTATGAGACGTTTTTGGAGGGAACCCGACTGACCTTTCTCAGATGGCCACTCACTGGATCTGCTCCCCTTGCTATCTGAGCACATTCTGAAGTGGATGGACTTAATCAGTTGCCAATTGGTATAACTGGGCTGTTTCCAGAGCCTGATCTTGTCATGCTAGTAATTGTTCCAAAAGGCCCCTGGACGTTTATAAGTCAGAACTCATGACTCCCACATATTTATCCTCCAGGGCAGAAAAAAATTCATAAAAGGAAAGTAAGAAATGTTCATGATTTTTTTTCCACTTCAGTTGCGGAATAGGGACTGAATGGGTTTCCCCCGTATCCTCTGAGCTTTAACCATGATGTTAAGAAACAAACAAACAACAGTGTTCTTGAAAGCCTGGCTATAATAAAACACACCTAAAGCTAGATTTATGCTATTTATGAGCTCTGTGTCCTTGGACAAATTGCATGCTCATTGTAAAGCCTCGGTTTCCTCATCTCTGCAGTGGGGAGAACAGTACCGGTCTCATGGGGTTGTTGTCTGTTGGTTTGAATTACACATACGCTTTCTCTTGCACCCCAGGCTCTTAGCCTCCCTGGCCTGGGACAGAGCAGGCATTCAGCAAACATTTGCTAAAAGAATAAATGGCTCACATTCTGTTTCTCCCTGCAGCCTTTGTCTTTGCTCACGCCGTCCTTTTTCTTCCCTTTCC